GAGGGGGGGGGGGGGCGGGGAAGGACAATTGAAAAGTGGGGTCCCTGTCCCCCACCGATCGACGCCCATGGACGTAACGGGCATTGAAATAAACTTTCAAGTTACACATATTTGATTATGGCACTTACCTTAGTAGTTGTTGATATACACATCACGGAAATACCCTATGATACAGCACATTATGGAGTTTTTTTGCTAGAATTCATCCAATCACTCTATCCGCCATTAGTTCACGTGGTTCTTTTGGCATTTTGGCAAAGTCTACACAGGTGATGCGTTCAGAATATTGAGTGAAAATGGCCACAATAACGCTGAAGCAAGTACCATCCCTGTATTATGAGATATGAACATGCTTTTGTCAATTTTACTTTACACTAAAGCGTATAACTATATAAAAATGCATACCTTAAAAACATATTAAAAAGTCTTGCCGAAAAAAACCCCCAGCGTCCGTCCGCCATGCACGCCTATATGGAAACTGATTCGTATTATTGGGTTACGGAACTTAAAAATTTCAAAATATTGTTACACGTTTTCTTTAATACTTAGTAGTTTTGCTGATACGTACATCACGAATATACCCTGGGCCATTAATCATAAACAAAACATGGTGGTTTTTTTTGTGCTAAAATACACCTCGTCCACCATTTCCGTCGTCACGTCAATTCATGTCACGCGGTTTTCTGGAATTTCAAAATTCACGCTCTGCTACATACTCAGGTGGTAATACGTTTAGGATATGAGGTGAAAATGGCCACAAGAACACTGAAGTCTAATGCCGTTAATGTTCTTAAAATCTTTGTAGGCTCTATATTTATACATTCTACCATTTGTATATCTAAATCATTTTACTAAATTTAATAAAGTGTAATAATATTTATATAGTGACTTCTAAAACGATCCTTGAGTCTTAAAATTCGATATAATTTTAAATAAGCCTATAACAATTATTGTATAAATATACACATTTATAAAAGAATGCAGCATAAAGTTATCTGAATGCCGTTAATGTACTCAAAATGTATACATTTTAATATATTTCCGTATAGGCATATTCGTTTTTCAATATATTATCAGCATTTATGTTGTTTCTAAGTATTCTATACGTAATATATATATATACTGTCTCTTATACACATCTAGATGTGTATAAGAGACAGATACATACACACTCGGGTACTGTATGTTCTTAAAGTATTATTAAATTAAAGTAATACTGTGTCTATTTCGTGAATACTTAGCTGGATAAACCAACTAATTGGCTATTCTTTCTCAAACATGAGAACACCCCTCGAAAACAAAATGGAACAATCGACCCTGGCGCCAAGCACAAGCAATTTATATTATCTATGTATGTGCATCTGACTATATTGGCTGGTAATCAGTTTGATGTATTTTTTTAAATCAGAAAAGCATAACTGAATTTTTTTTATACAAGTCTTTTATGATTTACTTGATTCCTTTAAACTTTCTCTTGTTCATTGCAATGAAAATACTGTCTTTTAACATGATTAACTTTGTTTTAATTTTAAATACTTCATAAAAATGAAATGTATTTTTAATGATACTTAAATGCAATTGTTTTAATATTTTAAAATTGTATTATTATAATAATAATTCAAATTCAATATATATATAATTTGTAAATAAAATATAAATTTGAACGTTTACTTTTATTTAAAACATTTAATTTTTAAGAACTTCATAAAAATGAAATGCATTTCTAATGATACAGTACTTAAATGAATCTCATACTGATACAGTATTTATGAAGATGGTTTTTTTTTTTTTGTGCCATTTTGGTTCCATATTGTGTTTGTTGATTTTCTTTTTTTTTTTATTTTGTAGT